TCGACCGGGCATATGGATGATTCCTATATATGCAATGCCCTATCTTCTTTTTTATATTGGCATTATACTTTATTTTCGATCAGAAAATCAATCAAATCTTTTTACCGCTGCAAGGTAAAAGATTTATTTAACAATTTAGTTCTATTCGTATTGAAATATATTTATTCATAGGATTATTCTGGCCATTGATCTTGAACTTTGGTATCTCTTCTCATTACGTTTTGTTAGTGCTATTAAACTATTAGGACCAAAACTTTTCATGATTCGAAATATGGTAAATAATTATGTTTAAATCTTTTTGAACATATACATAGTTATTCTTGTAGTTAGGCTATTTAACTGCTTTCATTTATATAATCTTTGTTTGTATTGCTGCCTACGGTGTAGTATCTCGTGCTCTAACTATGTATGCAGAATTAGAATTTACAGCTAGAAGTATCTTTACGGCTGTATTCTATCAACCTTATTGGTTCTTATATTCCATTGTCGAAGAAGAGAAATCCAATCTTGATTGTAAATAAATCTCACTTTGTTATATATCTGGTACTATGTTTCATATAGATATCATATCTAACGCAACTTCATCAGAAAGAGTGGCAGAGGCTACTGTAACTCATGTACTGCTAGCTTGTCACATGCTTTTTATCAATATTCTGATTCTTAATTTACTTATTGCCGTGTTTAAGTAGGGTTTCTATATTTGAACATTTTACTATTATTATTATTTCAATTGTATATTTAGCTTTTCAATCAATGAAGTTCACGATAAGAATGAATATATTTGGCGTTATCAACGGTATGAATTAATTCGTGAATATTTTGAAAAGCCATTATTTGCTTTTCCACCTCTTTCACTTCTTGCTTATATTGGATGGTTCATAAGTGCAGTTATATGTCGCGGCACAACTTTTCGAGTATTTAGTGAGTATAACGATAAAAGTTTTCACGACGAATAGCAATCTGATTTTTGATAGATTTCATGCCTTTGACTTGATCATTGTTTTTAAAAATCTACGATGATGAGCAACTTTCTAGAAAAACGTCTCTCCGATAGAATGTTCAAATTTCTTGAGCGATGAGTTGTTTCACATTATATTAGTTTTAGAAATCGTTAGATATATTATTGAAAGTAATTCTTTCTTCTTTCTTTATGTCCATTAGTGTAGAGTAGTTATACTATTTTTTTTTCGAGAGCTTCATTGTAAAATCATCTTTGATTATTCAATGAACGCTTGTTCAAGAAATAGATAGTTTACGGCTCAATTTTTGAATAAAGACTTCTTTCTTGTTATTCAAGGATTATTTCATGAAATTGAAGAGAGAGATCTCTTTTTTTTTAAAATTGTTCTAGTTTAGTCAATTGTATTTAGAACGTCGTTGCAACACGCCTGAGATGAATGTTCGGTGGACAGAATTTGAGAACGCTGCTACCTATGATTATGCACGTAAATTTGTTGAAGATAATTATCGACCAAAAGCCGAATATCAGACTTTAAAGTAAATTGTGATGTCTTATTTTTACTTCACAATGAATCTTATACTATTGATAGATTAGAAACACAAGTAAATGCAATGAAAAACACCATTGATAGATTACAAACACAAATAGATGCATTGAACCGTAGTAACGAACAGGCTCGGGCTGAAAACAATGCACAGATGAGCCGAGTATGTTATCGTGTTCATTTATATTTTATGATTACTCATTATTATTACCATATTTCTTTTGACTAGATGATGATTTGCATGGATTGGATAATGACTGCAATGGCTCGTGTTAGAATGTCTAATATTCCACTACCAACATTTGAAAATTCAACAGATAGTACTGCATAAAAAAAAACAATTTCATAATTAGTAGATTTAATATCTCTTAGTATATCTTGCCATTTTATTGCATAATGTGGTATTTACGTGCTAAATGGTGCTTTTTTTAATCTCATTTTTTGTCTTTTGTGATCCAAAACAAAAATATACTAATAATGACAAAAGTATTTTAAAAAATGTTCATTTCATCTAAAGTTTTGAAGTAACATGTAAATCTTTGTCAAATATAAAATCTACTATCAGTAATCTAAGTTTTTTGATAAACAAAAAAATCAATTTCTGTTAGTTTTGTGAAAGATGTAATGTCTATCTATCAAAACGTTTTTCATTTTTTTGTCATACTAAATTTGTACTTTAACTTTTACAAAAAATATTCTTGACCATCTCAACATCATCTGTGTATTTGTATTTTCATTACATTCTATCTGCTTGACAGTCAATGACATCGTCTATTATATGCTTCATTGAATCAACCCTTCTATTGGGTGTAGATCGCATGTGAATGAAAGAAAACCGATACTCACATCCACATCCAGCTAGCGCTTTTGTCAAACATAATTGTTGGCAACTATTCAAGTGTAAAGAAAGAATGTTAGGCTACAGCCTTCGTACACTTACATGCGATTGTGAAGTAAATTTTGCAATTAATGAATGATTGTTTATTTAGATGTCGATTACAGATTGTCAATTTCTTGTGGTTTTGAAGTCCGGAAGGTAGGTGTGGTGTGGGTGTGGATGTGAGGGTAGAAAGGGAACACCCACACCCACACCCTTGTGACTTTTTGAAATCATATTGATTTAAGCCATGCGATGATCGTCTTAGTCGACGTAAAATCTAAATTGTGGTATCTGTTCCCATCGCATTCACCCTAGGCCTCGCCCTCGCATCTCGCTCACTCTCACCCTCCCCTCCCTCTCCTCCTTCCCCTCATCCAACCTCAAGATACTGCTATAAACAATTTATAATCATATTCTGTCATTATTGCTTGGCAGCATTTTTTATAGATTTTAATATCTTCATGGATTCGTTAGCGTTATTAATGAGTATTTCAGTCTATTCGGTTAGAACTTGTAGTGATTTCAAATTTCTTTTTTTGCATTTATAAATTCCAATTTCATTTGCTATTGAACCAGAAAGATTAAATATAATCCCACCAATATTCCATAAGTTTGCTATCTGACCCACGCTTGCCACTGTACTAATCAAAGCACCAATTGAGTGTGGGTGTGAGTGTGAGTGCATTGCAAGTAAAGAGCATCCACATCGACACTCACACACACACCCTTAAATACAATGCTTCGAGTGTGATGTGAAGCGAGAAATGTCGATTTTCGAAAACTTCAAGATACCGGAAAGGCGAGGTGAAAACGACTGAAACGTTGGGTTTGAAGTCTCACGGAGTGTTAATGTTTTTGCGATATAGCTCTTAATATAAAAGCTGACGTAAAAGCAATGAGACAAGTGTCTACTCCTCTCTCTTTAATAGAAGAGTGATGAAAGGAAACTGTTTCGCAAGAAGATAGCATTTTTTTCTCTCTTTCAAATAATGTATAACTTATTTTTAACGCATATTCATAAATGAAATGATGCAAAAGCAAAGAGAAGCGCCCTCAAAATGAGTTTGTACTTTTCCTATCAATTACAACATAACATATGAATCCATATATCTCTTCGATAAACACGTTCTGAAAGGAATATTTTTGCATCAATCGATAAGAAACTGTCTCTTCTTTCGAGCCATATATGATTTATATTTATCATACATTTGTAAATCAAAAGAGGCGAGAAAAAGAGAAACACTCGTCCAATAAATCTGCAATTTTTATTAAAAAAATTGTCAAAAACATACTACAAAACGACGGTTGATTCTGATCAACTGTCCTTTTACACTTTGTTTTTTGATAAGTTCATATAAAAATTGCAAATTTATTCCGGGAGTGTTTTTCTTTTTTTCCAGTCTCATATTATTGACGAATGTATGACAATTGTAAATCATATATTGGTTGAAAGAAGAGAAAATTTTCTATCGACTGAACAGAATTATTTCTATTACAACGTGTTTATTAAAAAGTTATAGGGATCAATATTTCATTCGGTAAAGTGGTTAAATGTCGAAGGGAAAATGTCGAAAGTGAAAATGTCGAAAAAAAAATGTCGAAAGTAAAAATGTCGAAAAGCAGGATGTCGAACAAAAAAATGTCGAAAGTTGTGAATGTAGAAAAACAAAATGTCGAAAGTGAAAATGTCGAAAGTGAAAATGTCGAAAACACTAATAGCATATATTTAGTCATCTCTTTTATTGACAAGAATTTTAGCAAATAAAGCACAAGTCAAAAACTATTCCAAAAAAATAGAGATGAAGAAACATTATATGAATAGATTAAGATAACAAAATTTGACAATAAGGATAACTATTTTAAGAGAAGAAAAAGAGACAATGAATAAATTAAGAAACAGAACTTGGCAGTTGAATATAATATTGAAAAAGCTATTTTCAATTCATTTTTTTTTGTTCATATCTTTTGCGACGATCAGTGACAAACCTTCGAGGTATTCATTCAAATCAATTTCATTATTTGAAAAATGTCTGCATAAAACATCAAGACGTTCTTGGATGATGCAAGTTCTTTTTGACTTTTTCTTGAGCAAACCGCTTTTAGCATGAAGAAGTTGCTGTTGAAAATGAACTTCTTCTTTCTTGAGTACATCAATAAAATGCCAAATATTAGGATGTACTTTGTCGACTCTATGATTGAAGCGGTTATGCCAACCTAAGATACAATAGAATAAGATTATAAAAAGTATAGAGAATCAATCTCACCCTCGCAATTATTATTAGTGCGTATTTTTAAGTCAGAAACATTCCATAAATACATAGATGTTTTTTTCATCCAGAAATTGTTGAAGTATTCGAAAAGTGGCATAAGAACATCTGGACGTTGTTCCATAAGTTCTTCGAACGCAAACTCTACTTCATTTAATGGAAGAAGAGGTAAAGCCATCAAACGTCGACACATGCTGCGCACATTGGCATCATCTTTGTATATGTTGCTTAAACCAAGATTTTGAATTTTTCTGTAAATTGCCTGTGTATAATGGTAAAAGCAGCCAATGTGACGAGCATTAGGAAACTAGAAAACAGACGAGGAGTTATCACTTGATTCACTAAATTTCATACCTGTGTTTGCAATGGTTTCACAAGTGCTTTTTCAAAATCAGTTGTTATCTGATCTGGTAAAAAATTCATTTGAAGACGTTTAGCTTCTTCTTCAAGCTGTTTAAACACGTCTTTGTACATGGTATTGGAACGGCCCGTGAGAAGAACGAAGACACATGGAAAACCTATAGAACATTAATTAGAATGAAAAAAAGATGCAAAGTGTCATTCGCTTACATTGTTCGTATTTGATAGCATGTAGCGTGTAGAGTTGTTCAAAAAATGGTGGGCAAGAGGAAAATGTGCCATCCATTAATATATGTTTGGCTTTGAATAATATACGTAGTTGATCATCAGTAGCAAAAATAAGGATTCTTTTAGTTCCTCGCATTTTGTCATACAGTAAAAAGCGATCACTATTGATTGTTTGAGCATAAAGAGTGGGAATGTCAAAATGGCATGATTTTGGCAAAGTCGGAGTTTCTTGACGACGAATACGATTCAATGACGACTCTGCAAATCATGAAATAATGACACGAGTGACAAAAAAAGTACACTTACTTGCATCTTGTGCTGATGGAACAATACAAAGAGCAGTTTGACTTAATTGAGCTTTAGCTAATTCTTCGTCAAAAATACGAGCAATTGGTGTGGCTTCGGTAGTTACACGTCCTTTGACGTTAGCTTTGAAATTAAGAATTTCGATGTGCTCAGGTGAAGATAAATGACTTGAGTGATCACCTTTACGTGCTTTGAATTGATCATTGGCATCAGTATGAAGAACGGCAGAGCACAAACGATTTTCACAACGCCAATATTTGACCTTGGGACATGACTTGTTTAACTGATATACAAACCCAGGTCCAAGATGTACGGCGGGAAACCGCCTGATCCGGTGAAATTCCGGCTATTTCAGGGTGGCAGTATTCCCAAATCGGTTCCGGCTTTCGTTTCCTACTTAATTCCCGTCAGTTCCGGAGTCCGAAAAAGATGGCCGGATACAGATCCCTGTTTCCGGTATGGTTCCCGCGCCTGGTTCCACCGACTTATGACGGCGACAAGATACGAGCCATAAACTGTCATTTCCGGTATGGTTCCCGCGCCTGGTTCCAGCGACTTATGCCGGTGACAAGGATACGAGCCATAAACTGTCGTTTTCGGTGTGGTTCCCGCGCCTGGTTCCAGCGACTTATGACGGCGACAGGATACGAGCCATAAACTATCGTTTCCGGTATGGTTACGAAGCCCAGATCCAGCCGTTTGCATTTTCGCTATGGAGTTCGGATCCGATCACAGGATACAACAAGATAGGACTCGGATCCCGCTAGTTCCAATTGAATGGATTCAACTTTTCAGCAAGACTCACACCCACCCCCACATCCTACTCATGGGTTATCCTATGGACGTACCCATAAGTACTCATGAGCTATCCTATGCAGGTACCCATAAGTCCTCAAGGGCTATTCTATAGAAGTACCCATAGGACCTCAAGGGCTATTATATGGAAATATCCACAGGTCCTCAAGGGCTATTCTATAGAAGTAACCATAGATTCTCAAAGGCTATTAGTTGGAAGTACCCATAGGTCCCCAAGGGCTATTCTATCGAGGTACCCATAGGCCCTCAAAGACTATTATATGGAGGTACCCATAGGTCCTCAAGGGCTATTCTATAGAATTACCGATAGGTCCTCAAGGGCTATTCTATAGAAGTACCGATAGGTTCTCAAGGGCTATTATATGGAAGTACCCAAAGGTCCTCAAGGGCTATTCTATCGAGGTACCCATAGGCCCTCAAAGACTATTATATTATAGAAGTACCCATCGGTCCTCAAGGGCTATTATATGGAGGTATCCATAGGTCCTCTAGGACTATTATATGGAGGTACCCATAGGTCCACAAGGGCTATTATCTGCAGGCGTCTACAGGTGCTCTAGAACTATTATACGGAGATTCCCAAAGATCCCCATGGGCTATCCTATCGAAATACCTATAGGTCCTCAAGGGCTATTATATGAAGGCTCCCAGACGTCTTGATGTCCTACCCTACACAGGTACCCATAGGCTCTTAAGGACTATTATATGAAGGCACCCATGGATCCTCAAGGGCTGTCATATAGCGTGCCCATAGGTCCTGAAGAATATCAAACAACAAAGAGATAAGACTACCGATGCTAGAAAGGATCTAACACAAAAAGAACACCAGGGTGTTTGCGCCATCAAAATATGTGCCATAGCACAGTATGAGGCACTAAGGTTTCGATCATTATAAATTATATCGCGTATCGATATGCCAGTTATCGGCTGAAAAGTTAAACGTCTCCAGTCAGTTTTTGAATAAGGAACAAGTCATGTAGGATGCTTCCCTTCTCGCCGGTAATCAGATAAAACTCAGCGCACTTGGAAATCTACCACCAACTCCAATTGCCTTTGTTGTTGACAAGCGGCCTCGACTACGAGCAGCCTTACACGACATCCTAGAGTTCGTCCCGGTCGCTGACGAGCTACAGTTAAGCGAAAACGAAAACAATTTCGAGGTCCCAAAAAGACGCTTAAAATACGCCTCAATAACCCTTTCTCAGACATAATCTCTCATTTCAGTAGCACTGTACGAGGTTATGGAGCTTATTCTTGTGACGACCGACTCACACATAAGATGAAAAACAAACCAAGTGCGAACTCTCACGAGACAATTTCCATACATCACAGTCGGTCATTCTGAGACATGGACACTCCCGTAAATAGGACTGTACCACGTGCTAGACTTCATTCCAGAGAGAAACCCGTTAGCGGTGAGTTCAAAAAAACAAAGTTCGACGTCTCACGAGGCCGCGTTTCCTATCTCTACATCACACTTTTTGAGACATCGTCCCACTATAAATAGAGGCGCACCACGTCGTAGAAAACTTTCCACGGAGAAACCAGTTATGGTAAGTTCAAACAAAACAAAGTTCGAAGTCTCACGAGGACGATTTTCTTACCTCTCGATGACTCGTTTTGAGACATGGTCTCCACTATATCTAGGGTTCACAACGTGCTAGGGTCCATTCTTAAAAAAAAACAAAGTTCGAAGTCCTCGGAGGACGATTTTCCTACCTCTCGAGGACTCTGTTTCAGACATCGTCCCCACTAAAAATAAGGGTGCACCAGGTGTTAGGTTTCACTCTGGAAAAGAACAAAGTTCGAAGTCCTCGAAGGACGATTTTCCTACCTCTCGAGGACTCTGTTTTGAACATGGGCTCCACTATAAATAAGGGTACACGAGGTGTTAGGGTTCACTGTGAAAAAAACAAAGTTCGAAGTCCTCGGAGGACGATTTTCCTACCTCTCGAGGACTCTGTTTCAGACATCGTTTCCACTACAAATAG